GTGTCGGACTGTCGTGGGAATATGTCGGACTGTCGTGGGAATGTGTCGGACTGTCGTGGGAATATGTCGGACTGTCGTGGGAATATGTCGGACTGTCGTGGTCAGTGGGGAATGTGTCGGACTGTCGTGGGAATATGTCGGACTGTCGTGGGAATATGTCGGACTGTCGTGGGAATATGTCGGACTGTCGTGGGAATATGTCGGACTGTCGTGGTCAGTGGGGAATGTGTCGGACTGTCGTGGTCAGTGGGGAATGTGTCGGACTGTCGTGGGAATATGTCGGACTGTCGTGGGAATATGTCGGACTGTCGTGGGAATATGTCGGACTGTTGTGGTCAGTGGGGAATATGTCGGACTGTCGTGGGAATATGTCGGACTGTCGTGGTCAGTGGGGAATATGTCGGACTGTCGTGGTCAGTGGGTAATGTGTCAGACTGTCGTGGTCAGTGGGCAATTCATTAAACTCTTGTGGACAATTTGTGGCAGCATTCAATTAATTCATCAACTTGCCCTAGCCCTGCCAAAAAACAGCAGACTGACAGAACAACCGACCCACAAAACAACCGACCCACAAAACAACCGACACACATAACAACCGACCCACATAACAACCGACATACATAACAACCGACTATCAGAACAACCGACACACAAACAATCGACACTGTTCTCTGCAGACATCCAGCTGCCGTTTCTGGTGTCATACTCAAACATGTGGTATAAAAAGTCACGTGATAACCGTGTCTAAACTACTTAGGCCAGATCGAGGGTTGTTGTAGAAAAAAATAAAGTCTAATCTAAATTTCAAAACGAGGTTCCATATTTTTGTTCTTGTAAAACAACCAGCCGCACACTAGCCTTAACTCAGTTATGATTTGGGCGGGGATGAGAATTGAGTTAGCCCAGGATAGACCTGATCCAACTGATGGTGACTTGCTAGTCGTCATAGATTAGTTGGTGTCACCTCTGCTTAGTCGGTGTCAGGGTGTCTCGTCATAGCTTGGTGTCACCTCTACTTAGTCTGTGTCACCTCTACTTAGTCGGTGTCACCTTTACCTAGTCGGTGTCACCTCTACTAAGTCTGTATCACCTCTACTTAGTTGGTGTCACCACAAACAGTCACTTAATTCCCACGTTTTCTTTAACTTGCTTTCGCGTCTTTCCAATCAAATCTTGCGATCGAAATTTCGGGCACTTTCCAGTTAGCTAGCGCGCTGAAATTTTCAGGGAAGCTTTGTTTCCGATGACAATAGAATATTCAATTGTTATTATTACTAAATTGATCCATGGAAACATTTTATTGATCATTTTAAACCGCTATATAATTGTACAAAAAACGTGGGGAAAAAGGGACATAACCCAGTAATTGTAATTTGATGAAAACAAGGTTCGGTACTCTCCCTCTTTTTGCTTACTGAGTAGTTGTCACGCGGTGTTTGTGTACAAACAACCAGAACGTAACAACTGGTGGCCAGTATGGGGGAGACGATATGGTCGAGTGGTTGGGCACACGATTGCTAACCCACTCGACACGGGTTCAAGGCACGTGTTTTTTACGAGTTGTCTTCGTTTACCCAAAAAAAAAGTGAATGCGAAAAGATAAAATCGATAGCAAGATTTTAAAGCAAACAAACAGACAATGACTAAAAAGTAGAAAATAATTATCATTAAAAAAGTTTTAAAAAACCCACGTTTTCTGATTGAACTAAAAAGTAGAAAATAAATGCTATATCACAATAATGCAAGCGATCACTCTACTATAAGCGATGAAAAACGTGGGGCGCCGTGATTTTCTTAGAGTTTCTAATACTGTTGACTCTCTACAAGCTCCCTAATATAAATCAATAGTATTATCTAATCAATAGTAATATAACTTTTACATCTTATATTAACAATGACCGATAAAAAACTTTTACTTCGGCGCCCCACGTTTTTCATCGCTTATAGTAGAGTGATCGCTTGCATTATTGTGATGTATAGCATTTATTTTCTACTTTTTAGTTCAATCAGAAAACGTGGGTTTTTTAAAACTTTTTTAATGATAATTATTTTATAAATGAGTTGTCTATATATAGAGTAGTTTAAATCTGGACCATCAGGTCTACTGACGCGTGCTAGCAGTTTAAAACTTTAAGAGAAGTTTAATACTTTACCAGCAGTTCAATACTTTACGAGAAGTTTAATATTTTACCAGCAGTTTAAAACTTGACCTGCATTTTAAAAGTTTACGAGAAGTTAAATACTTTACCAGCAGTTTAATACTATCTGCAGTTTAAAACATTTTAGAAGTTTACTTAGTTATAAATTTTAAATTACCAGCAGTAAAAAAATTCTCACATGTAGGATGTGTTTCAAGCCATCAATGACACGTGTGTTAAAGACAGCTGTGTGTGATACACATTTAACGTCAAGTTTGTGTGTGTTTCAAGCCATCAATGACACATGTGTTAAAGACAGTTGTGTGTGATACACATTTAACGTCAAGATTGCCTCCCAAAACTCAGCAAACAGTTGCATGTCACGGAGTCAGTTAGCGTGACAAAAATCCAATCGCTTGCAACAAGTGGGTCAAGCACGTTTTGAAGTTGTTTCCTTGAAATTATTCCAGTTCTGTAACAAAAAAAAAATCCCACACACTCGCGGATAAAGAAGTGTGAGTTTAGTAAATCACGTGACTCTACCCACACGGCTGGAAAATCTTTTTCCCCGCCCCCCTTCACACCCCACGAGGTTCGCGTCATGTAAACGAAGATCATAAGTTGGAATTATGAAAAAAAAAATGAAATCATTATTAACCGAGTTATCTTTTCCTGTTTCTCATCAGTTGTCGCTTTTGTAGCGACCGCCTTGCTGCACCGAGCAATTTCATTAGGCCAGTTTTTGTGGGCGTTTGTTGAGGTGTGGGCTTTTGTTGAGGTGTGGGCGTTTGTTGAGTTGTGGGCTTTTGTTGAGTTGTGGGCTTTTGTTGAGTTGTGGGCTTTTGTAGTTGGTTGTGATTTTTTTCTTTACGCCGCCGGCCTTTTCAGTGAGTTTCGGACTTTCCGAGTAGGTGTAAGATTTTCTGAAAGGTGATACATCTGATCTACTATGTTATCATTAAGTTCATCAGAGACCAAAGGATTGACACCCCCCCTTCACCACTCTTCTCTGTGTGGGATCCGTAGGTCACGTGCAGTACCTTTAGGTGAGTGAAGGGCTGGTGGGGCTAGGATTGTGACGTCACCCCCAATCAGACGTGAACACATAGAACACAGCCTATAGCAGGTTTCACTCTCCAGTCAGGTCACGGGGTGAGTACCAACACACTCACCAGACGAGGGACACTACAACCGTTCATTGTTGTGACAGTGGGGGTCAGCAGACACTGGCCGGGTCAGGGGTCAAGGTCCCAGTCAGAGTTGTAAGACACCGTTTAGTGTGGTCTACTCACCACAGCGGGTACCAGCTACACGCTATTCAACCAGCTCCAAACATCTGTTTAGGATCACTCTGCGTGTAAACAGAAATTAACAGAATTAAACATTGATATTAATTACATCAACGCTCTAATTATGTATTCAATTACTGCAGAGATAATTGAAAATAATTCATAATTATCACATCAATTCAAGAAAAATGGGAAAATCCAGAATTGATGAAAAAATCTTAGCTCAGCCATCAGATCCGATTTTTTTGTTTGTTGTTGAGGCCGTTCTGTCTGGTGCGTGATTCAGTTGGGTGGGGGATGGTGAGAACCTGTTCTCTTCACCTCCCCCTCCCCTTAACATGATGCTTGTCTTAACACCCCCAGCCCCTCCCACCCGCTCCCCACCCCCAGTGTTTTGGGAATATTTAGATTTTAATATATGACACATTATGTGGTGTTGTCACATTTTGTGGTGTTGTCACATTTTGTGGTGTTGTCACATGTTGTGGTGTTGTCACATGTTGTGGTGTTGTCACATTTTGTGGTGTTGTCACATTTTGTGGTGTTGTAGCATTTTGTCACGCCTTTCCATTTTGATTTGTTTCGTCACATACTTGCCATACAGCGCTAATGTCAAACACTTAGAAATGTCAGGATGTGTCACGATATTTCACATTTTGTCACGCTATGTCACGGTATGTCACCATATGTGACGCTATGTCACATTGTCATAACCCCAACAAGTGACGTGTCTTTAAAATGTTTTCACAAAGCACCAGTACAAAGGCAGGTGCTAATCTACTGCACCTACAGTAGTGCACATCTATAACAGTGGAAACTTGTGATATTAAGCTCATCTATAACAGTGGATCATTGTGATATTTAGCTCATCGATAACAGTGGATCATTGTGATATTAAGCTCATCTATAACAGTGGAAACTTGTGATATTAAGCACATCTATAACAGTGGAAACTTGTGATATTAAGCTCATCGATATCAGTGGATAATTGTGATATTTAGCTCATCGATAACAGTGAATCATTGTGATATTAAGCTCATCTATAACAATGGAAACTTGTGATATTAAGCTCATCGATATCAGTGGATCATTGTGATGTTTAGCTCATCGATAACAGTGGATCATTGTGATATTAAGCTCATCTATAACAGTGGAAACTTGTGATATTAAGCTCATCTATAACAGTGGATCATTGTGATATTTAGCTCATCGATAACAGTGGATCATTGTGATATTTAGCTCATCGATAACAGTAGAAACTTGTGATATTAAGCTCATCGATAACAGTGGAAACTTGTGATATTAAGGTTTTCCTCAATACAGTGCAATATCCCCCCCCTCAGTTCGAACATCCTTCAACACCACCATAGAGCCCCCCCCCCCCCCACCTGCTCAGCCTATCTTGTCTCACGACGGTATAAACCTCCCTCCCCTGCCCCAACCCCACGGTCGTGCTGATAAATTATTCGCCATTGAATGTCCCCCCCCTCACTAAAACAGAAAACAAACAACTCCCATTTCCTTTCTGTGGCCGGGTGCTGGCACCAGTTAGAGGGCTATTTCCGTCCTGGTCCTACTCAACACAGCTGGGGGACATAGCGGCCCCACCCTCAGCCATAGCGGCCCCACCCTCAGCCATAGCGGCCCCACCCTCAGCCATAGCGGCCCCACCCTCAACCATAGCGGCCCCACCCTCAGCCATAGCGGCCCCACCCTCAGCCATAGCGGCCCCACCCTCAGCCATAGCGGCCCCACCCTCAGCCATAGCGGCCCCACCCTCAACCATAGCGGCCCCACCCTCAGCCATAGCGGCCCCACCCTCAGCCATAGCGGCCCCACCCTCAACCATAGCGGCCCCACCCTCAGCCATAGCGGCCCCACCCTCAGCCATAGCGGCCCCACCCTCAACCATAGCGGCCCCACCCTCAGCCAACCTGACCCTACTCAACACAGCTGGACATAGCGGTCCCACCCTCAGACATAGCGGCCCCACCCTCAGCCAACCTGATGCTACTCAACACAGCTGGACATAGTCGACCCCCATTATAACAAACAGCCGAACCCCTTATAACATACGAGATGAACTCTATATAACAGTCAATTTGTCAAACAAAAGCCACAGATAAATTCTGTTCCAATTTTGTTCCACAAAGCAAACACCATCGACCACACCCTCTTTGACCCCTCCTCCACCGCCCCCTGCTCTATGACCCCTCTATCCAATCTCCGCTTGTTGCCATCCAGTATGTGATAACTTCTCACACTCGCCCTGCTCTGGATAAATGGACCAAAATATTTGGGAAACACATGTCATACCGTCTACACAACCACCGTGATCTCGTGTTTATGTAGCCACCCACACATCGACCGTGATCTCATGTTGATGACGTCATACCACCCACACATCGACCGTGATCTCATGTTGATGACGTCATACCACCCACACAACGACCGTGATCTCATGTTGATGACGTCATACCACCCACACAACGACCGTGATGTTGATGTGGCCACCCACACAACGACCGTGATGTTGATGTGGCCACCCACACAACGACCGTGATGTTGATGTGGCCACCCACACAACGACCGTGATGTTGATGTGGCCACCCACACAACGACCGTGATGTTGATGTGGCCACCCACACAACGACCGTGATGTTGATGTGGCCACCCACACAACGTCCATTATATCGATGTGGCCACCCACATATCGACCGTGATCTCATGTTGACGTGGTCACATTAACATACCTTTAATAAAACCAGACATTTGGTTTAATTACATTATTTCATTTAAGACACTGTCATCATCGTCATCATTTATGTGAATGATGACCCCTTGTGACCCCTTGTGAAGCATAAGGACGCCACTACACATCTGCATCGTTTAAGGCTCCGTTTAAGACAGTTCCTCCAAGTTAGGCCCACGACATTCCAGCTGCTTGCACCTCACTGACAACTGATCTAAAGCTGGCTTTAGTCTACAGTCTACACACATTTAGCCAATGGCTTGTGTCTTGGGCCTCCATTTCTACTCCTTGAACTAAATCTGTTTTTTTTGCCAACTTGTTGATATATGTTGTCTAACTACACATTGACACATGTTGACATCGACCAAAAATATTTGTTGTCTAACTACGCATTGACACATGTTGACATCGACAAAAATTGTCTAACTACGCATTGACGCATATTGACATTGACAAACACATTTGTCTAACTGCGCATTGACACATGTTGACATCGACAAAAAAAAAAATCTGGATGTGGGGTAAAGCACCCAACGCTGGCACCAGTCACACGAAAATGAAATCACACGGCATGTAGCAACATGGTTGTCAACATTCAATTCACGGCCACACCGCCGATTAATAGCGGCCTCATTTCCTGAGCGCGTGATGGAACATGTATTCCTGCGCTGTGGCGTCAGCAGGAAAAAATAGAACCGGAAGAGGAAATTTGATAAACCTTGTCTTGCCGGCTAATTTGTTTTTGTTTTATTTTCGTTGAAAACTTCTTTTTGAAGTGATTAATTTTTAATAGGTAATTTTAATAGGTTATTTTGAAATAATAAAAGTCTTTTATTTTGTTGACGTCTATTCGTTTGTTGGGTGTTGGACTCATTAACACAACACGTGCGAACTATATTGTTAGCACGTGCAATATGAGGGATTGGGGGGGGGGAATCATAAGCACTATAACAGATACTGCTAGTTTCTGTCGAAATAAAAGTCATACAAAGTGTGAACTACAAACTTAAGTCCTACAAAGTAAGGTAATACAAAGTAAGATAATACAAAGTGAGGTAATATAAAGTAAGGTCCTATCCAGTTTTGTCATTTTCTAACGAAATTAAGAAACCAATATTCCAATACGTTGATGTGATCAAACAGTTTAAGATTAGAACATCCATAGTCTTCACTTATCACGTTGCTCTCACCTGTCATGTAGCCCCCACATTATGTAGCCCCCACATTATGTAGCCCCCACATTATGTAACCCTCACATATCATGTAGCCCCCACATTATGTAGCCCCCACATTATGTAGCCCTCACTTATCATGTAGCCCCCACATTATGTAGCCCTCACTTATCATGTAGCCCCCACATTATGTAGCCCTCACTTATCATGTAGCCCCCACATTATGTAGCCCTCACATATCATGTAGCCCCACATTATGTAGCCCTCACATATCATGTAGCCCCCACATTATGTAGCCCTCACTTATCATGTAGCCCCCACATTATGTAGCCCCCACATTATGTAGCCCCCACATTATGTAGCCCTCACTTATCATGTAGCCCCCACATTATGTAGCCCTCACCTAACACGAAGCCCCCACTTATTTTGTTGATTAAAAGAACAGCAAGAAATCTAGATTATGTTAAGGTTTGACGTTGCTATGTATCTTTGATTAAACTTTCAATTTTTTGCCAAGTAGTGGGCAAAGTTTTTTTCTCACTCAAGTCAACATAATACACAAATGTGTTGAAGCTACACACATGTGTTACACAGATGTGTTACAGGTACACAGATGTGTTGACGTGACTAGGTGCAGAGTTTCTTCCAGACATCTCTTCGGGGGCGAAGCCCCCCCCCCCCGAAAATTTTTACCGCCCCCCCCCCCCGAACGAAATGAAATTTATATAATTTATATATAAAATATATACTTTTAACAGTGTCCGCCCCCCCCCCCCCCCGAAGAAAGTTTACCGCCCCCCCCCCCGAAAATTTCAAGTGCCCCCCCCCCCCCCCCCGGAGAAAAAAGTCTGGAAGAAACACTGACTAGGTGTGATACCGACTGATATTTCAGGACTTCAGTGAAAAAACAAATAAAGCTTTTCACTTGACAAAAAGATACAATTTATCTTCATCAAGTCTGTGTATCTTCAACATGTGTATGTGTTGTATGTTGACGTGACGTCACGAACAGATACAAGCTGTTGATGACATCATGACCTACACCAAACTGTTGATGACATCATGACCTACACCAAACTGTTGATGACATCATGACCTACACCAAACTGTTGATGACCTACACCAAACTGTTGATGACATCATGACCTACACCAAACTGTTGATGACCTCATGACCTACACCAAACTGTTGATGACATCATGACCTACACCAAACTGTTGATGACCTACACCAAACTGTTGATGACCTACACCAAACTGTTGATGACATCATGACCTACACCAAACTGTTGATGACCTACACCTAACTGTTGATGACCTACACCAAACTGTTGATGACCTACACCAAACTGTTGATGACATCATGACCTACACCAAACTGTTGATGACCTCATGACCTACACCAAACTGTTGATGACATCATGACCTACACCAAACTGTTGATGACATCATGACCTACACCAAACTGTTGATGACATCATGACCTACACCAAACTGTTGATGACATCATGACCTACACCAAACTGTTGATGACCTACACCAAACTGTTGATGACCTACACCAAACTGTTGATGACATCATGACCTACACCAAACTGTTGATGACATCATGACCTACACCAAACTGTTGATGACCTACACCAAACTGTTGATGACCTACACCAAACTGTTGATGACATCATGACCTACACCAAACTGTTGATGACATCATGACCTACACCAAACTGTTGATGACATCATGACCTACACCAAACTGTTGATGACATCATGACCTACACCAAACTGTTGATGACATCATGACCTACATCAAACTGTTGATGACATCATGACCTACACCAAACTGTTGATGACATCATGACCTACACCAAACTGTTGATGACATCATGACCTACACCAAACTGTTGATGACATCATGACCTACACCAAACTGTTGATGACCTACACCAAACTGTTGATGACATCATGACCTACACCAAACTGTTGATGACATCATGACCTACACCAAACTGTTGATGACATAATGACCTACACCAAACTGTTGATGACATCACGACCTACACCAAACTGTTGATGACATCATGACCTCCACCAAACTGTTGATGACCTACACCAAACTGTTGATGACATCATGACCTACACCAAACTGTTGATGACCTACACCAAACTGTTGATGACATCATGACCTACACCAAACTGTTGATGACATCACGACCTACACCAAACTGTTGATGACATCATGACCTACACCAAACTGTTGATGACCTACACCAAACTGTTGATGACATCATGACCTACACCAAACTGTTGATGACATCATGACCTACACCAAACTGTTGATGACATCATGATCTACACCAAACTGTTGATGACATCATGACCTACACGACAAGCCTGTTCAGTCAACCGTGCAGCAGATAATTAGCGTGACAATCAATTCCACCAGCTTACAACGTGACCGGCGTGACAGTAAATGACGTTGTTAGAGATAACACCGTGACCCTGTGGTCTGGTCAAGCCTCGACCGTTGGCTTGTTGGTCAACCCTCGACCCTGGGCTGTTTGGTCAACCCTCGACCGTTGGCTGTTTGGTCAACCCTCAACCCTCGGCTGTTTGATCAAGCCTCGACCATTGGCTGTTTGGTCAACCCTTGACCGTTGGCTGTTTGATCAAGCCTCGACCATTGGCTGTTTGGTCAACCCTCGACCCTCGGCTGTTTGGTCGACCCTCGACCGTTGGTTGGTTGATCAACCCTCGACCGTTGGCTGGTTGGTCAACCCTCGGCTGTTTGGTCAACCCTCGACCCTCGGCTGTTTGGTCAACCCTCGGCCGTTGACCGTTTGCTCGAGGATTCAAATATTGATTGCGTCCACCTGATTGGCTGCAGCTAGGGTCCAGGCAATTACCCAAACTTCCCCGTGTTAAGCCCAGTTCTATCACATCCTTACCTTCATTCTCTGCCGGTCTCTGCCGGTCTCTGCCGGTCCGTGCAT